GAGATATTTTACTAACGAATGTACATAACTTATACGGGACTAAACCAAGGATCGCGAAACTATAGGCAGCCATGTAGTATGTTTACTACACTGTACTCTCCGGTACAAATATCATATCATTGGGCAACATCTAGTAGTAAGTCATCGACTCTCCATCTGTGTACAATATCCGCCACCTCACTGTCTCGTTGCTACTCTACAACTAAACATTCTTATTGCAACTCTAATACTTAAATCTCCTTCCGTTTTGAAACCGTATTACTAATAGAGTGAGAGTAAAATAACGAATTCCGGGACAAAAGTCTACAAGTGACATGCTACTACATTCTATAGTAAAATTATAACTTTACAATATCGCTCGCCATCTGCGACGCGAGGCATGAGATCATTTTCTGTGCTAGATGAACGCGCATTACTGTCAGGGTCTTCACCTTGTAAGAGTGGTAGCGCAACTTAGCAGCAGAAGCGCGTCGGTTGTAGTACGCGACCACGTGCTGAACGCGCTCATGCCTTTGTATCGGGATCGTGGCATCACCCTGCGCGCTCACATCCGTGGCAGATTTATTTTTTAAACATGATAAGCCGTTCAATATAATGTTGTATAAGCATTAACTTTGCAAATTTTGCCAACAAAATGTCTTTCGCTTTTTCCCACGTTATATAATCCAGGCTGTTATTCTAATTAAATACGCAACAGCACGCCCGCAGAGAGCTTGCATTACCGATAACAACGAATCGATACCTTTGAGGTCCTTGTGCTTTACGATAACCTCGTCAATACTACACCAGCTCTCGATGTCAGCATCAGGATCGTCAGGATTGGACCCAATAAGCACCTGAGAAGCAGGCGGCTGCAAGTCGTCGGTTAGCCCACGCCGTAACTGTAACAAAGCGGTAGTTTCGCTCGCACCCGGAACGGCGTAGCTAATATTAGCCATGTGGTCATGATCACTCGCGTATCGGTTATTCGCGTTTTTTTCACTCGCGGAACTGCCTCCAGGTCGCTCTCAACTCATGCATTCCATTTCTTATGTCGCAGAAAAATCGAACTCGCTTTCCTCTTATCGTAGTTCCGTTTCCACTAAAAAGCACCAAATAAGATGGCGTACCGGGCGTACGTGCGCCGCTCGGATTGTTCCAGCTTCCGTCGGTCTCCCCTAGACGTTTTGTAATAAGCAGGTAACCATCCTGCCTCTGCCATTTAGCGGCGAAGGATGGAAACACGTTGTGTTTTGTGCTGAACCTATTTTAATGAAATTGTGCACGCTGTATGTGATCTAGTCCAAATTGAGAGATAGGATATTTTTTATCTCGATAAGTAGCTTAGTTGTTAAAATCTATTTTTTTTAATAATTCAACTAAATTTGCTTATTTCATTTTCAAATTTATAATTCTAAAATACATACTAATGTAATTTTCAATTTATGTTAGTATGTATTTTATATATTTCTTATATAATATATCCCCGCCCCTCTACTGGCATAAGAAAGGTTGACATTAAAGGTATTATTCGCAAAATCGCACTACATTAACTTTGAACTCATTACTACAATTTGAAATAACAATACTATGTAGACTTAGACCGCAAGCGGTTTCGGAATTAAAAGCGGGATGGGAAACAGGTTCGAAAGTCAGGACCGGTACCGGAATTCAAGAAGACTTCAGGATCGTGATTAAATGTGGGATCGCGATCAGAATCAAGAGCCTGATCGGGATCGAAATACAAATGAAAGAAATATTTGCCTCCTGCTTCGCCCAAATTCAAACTAGTCACAGTTTGAATTTGGGCGGAATCAGAATTTAAAGCGGAACAGGGAACAGAATCGAATACGGGACCAAGATCGGAATCGAAAGAAAGACCGCCATTGACATTGACATGGAATAATAAAAAAGACGAAGAAATTAATTCTATGTTCATGCTGACGGAGTTGCTGGCATTAACTAGGTGGACAAGCCACCCGTGAGAAAGGATAAAACAACTAGATAGAACATTAGATAGAATAGCTGGTTTATTATTGTAGATACAAAAAAAAAACATTGCGCAACTATGATTATGGAAAATAATACATAATTATAGTTGCGCAAAATTTTACATTTAAACCAATGTACATTCTTCCGCATGTGCTTATTTGATATTTTGATTATTTACTTTGTCAAATTTATTTTTTATACAAAGTGAACAAAAATTCGATACATTCTATTTACTTACTTATTTTTTATTATTTATGATACAGATTAGCCAATTAAATTTTAAACTCAGTTTGGACCAATTTGTAAGTTGGGTTGTTTTTGCATAACAAGTTCCGGTCGAGACCGTCACGCGCATTGCATTCACATGTGCAGCCCGTGTAGCGACCGCACGTTCGTTGCGATATACAATTTTCGATAACGACGCGACCCACTTATTCGCGGCGAATTTGTGCGCGGATGCGGCCGAAATTGGCCAACGGAATTGGAACACAGAAATTAGAGTTTATCTCGCGCCACCTCCGCGCTTCACCGACGCAGTTCGCAAACTGTTTAGTCGGGGCGCTCGTTACTCCAGAGCAATGCTCGTGCAGTCGGTGAAACGATTTTGTTCACTTCTAGCTCAGGGATTTTCCGGAGATGCACCGGGCGATGTTTTCAGTTCGTTTTTTAATAATTATTTCAGAATAAAAAAAAAATCTATGAAAATAGTTTATTCCTTATATATTTAAAATAATGTAATTTTGACTTCATCACAAAACACTACTTTGAAATAATGAAACAAAAATATTATGTCAATACACATATTTTATGAGTAAAAAATTGCAGTAAAATGTCCGGTTGTGCCGTTTGTGTCTGGCTGGTTTCGATACTCTTAAATAGATGACATTTTAAAAAAGAAAAATAAAAAGTAAAGACAGTGTTCCGCCATTTTTGTATTGTTTTTCTGTTCACCAAAATGAGTGAATCTTCGCGTTTTGCATGTATGCTCGAAACGGCATAATATTGTGAAGCCCCCTTTGCTTTCACTATCTAGTCACTGATAATTGTGCTATAATAATGCACAATCGCTTAACATTAGCTTTTATTTACTTTTTGTATGAAATTTTTAATATTAAAGTACTAGCAGAGTCCATGCATGTATTCCTCAATTATATCACTCCTTTTATTAGTGAATAAAAGATTAGATAGATAGACTCTTCGTAGAAATAACTGTTAAATATTTGCATCGTAAATAGAAACGCTAAGGAATATATAATGAAGAGTGATTTTTATATATTCATTAGTCTTTCTATTTACAATGTAAATATTTGACAGTTATTCTTTGAAGTATCTACCTATCTAATACAATTTCTAATACATTATTTACTATACTTCTTAAGCTTACGTCCACTGCCTAATGTGTTATTCAAATCGCCTACATAAAACTTACATAATTCGGTTACAAATAAGAATTGGCAGAAATATCAACAAAAAAACTGTAGAAACAGAAGAGTCTGTAGCTTTACACAATTTATTGGGAGTCTGTACAAAAAAAAATTAAAATACGTGAAAACCAAAAAAGTACCACGTAAACAGGAAGCTGCGAGCGGAACACTCGGAGACGCGCGCGACGCGAATGCCAAATAAGGAGATTTGTCCGGGTCCAATCCAGTAGGAAATGAAGAAATTATCGACGTGAAATATCTTAGACGTAGGTACAAAAAGCCAATACATGAAGGAGGATTTAAAAGAATCTTTAATTAAAAATCGAAAGGATAGAACATAGAAGTGGGTAAAAGGAAAAAACTTTTACAAAAAATAATACCAAAAATATACAGGAGTACGATACGAATTTACTCATCGAAGGTTCCATGCCACCACACGATATATTTGTTTAAATATTTACGAAAAAAATATTTTATTTTTACTCAACTGAGTTCATATAATTGTATACCATACAATAATATATATATATAATGTATTCATACACACATATGTATATCCAAATATTATCTGATACATTGTTTTTATTATTGCAATTACCATAAATAAAGTCATTGTTTACCATATGGGCATTTCAACATATCTTATTTTTTTCTTGTAAGGGGTGGGGGGAGTCTTCGCGGTTTTTGGATAAAATCATCAGATGCGGATTTATTGTCAAAAAACGCGCATACTGCGCAGAACGGTAGAAGTGTGCGGTATCCATGGCAACATTTCTGACCCATGCGGAAGAATTTGCTAAGTATGCTCCAAATACTTGGCCCCTTTCGCATCGAAATAGCCGTAAAACTTCATTACACATTTCGTGGCTCTAATTCCAGAATTGAAAAAGAGCAGACGTATGAGCGTTAAAGCATATATTCAAGACTTCAAAACGAGGTCAAACAGTTGTAATCCTACATCAAAAATAATGTTGACGTTGTTGAAGGGGTGGACGTTGACGACAACATTGTCATAAATGAGACAATGGAACCGAAGTACCAAGGTGACGTAGCTATGCTCCGGTGGTTAATTCACTTACTGATTGATTTTTGGACTCTGGGCTGATCAAAATATATAAAGGTCTCTTGGATCCTAAACTGATCAAAGTATTATAGAAAGATCTAAAAGAAACGACTTTGAAAATAATAATTGTAAACACTATTATAGAAAATGAACATGTTTTTTTTTATTGTTCCCATTACTTCCTTATAATTCTAATAGATACTATCTTACGTAAGATTTAATGGGGAAAGGGGGTCAACCAAGTCACATTTTTTTAGATAGATGAGAGAGAGGGTCAAAAAGTGCTAAAAATTGTTTTACGTAATAAATGAACAGTCCCTAATTGCAATGACCAAATTCAATGGGAAATACTAGTATTTGCAAAAAAATTTGCAATATCTGAATTTTGGTTATATTGCAAAGAATTTCCCTACATCTTTCTTACACTCCAAAGGCTTGACGAATGAGAACTAGACCGAAAAAAAGGCCCGACAACTTACTTTTGCTATATGTTAACATTTCAAAAGCGTTTCGTGGTCGTGTCTTCTACCCCGTCTATCGCCAACGCCTATATCAAATTGAATACGTCGGTTCTTGTCCGATAATCGAAGTTAGGCAGCGTCGGGCGCGGTCAGTACTTGGATGGGCGACCGCCTGGAAATATCAAGGGTTTCTGCAATTGATTTTTTTTTTGTTATAATCATTATGATAACAAAATGTTTATTTTCATAACCTTAAAAGAATGTTAATTAGAATTTCATTAGCATTCCCACTTTCTTTTTAATTCATTATGTAATTATTCTCAAATTTTGTTCATTTATTTCATTGTGCGTATATTTTAATAACAATATACATATATCGAAAGGAACTTCGTTCTATTCCGGTTTTCCACAACGCCTCTCTTTTATCACTTGTGTATTATAATTGGCAAACACAATTGTAATAGGTAATCGTTTTCTTTGAAGATAAAATGTTACTTTGATTGAGCAATTCTGGTATAATTATAAATTGCTTTCTCGGAAACAAACCTAATAATTTCGATTCATTGATAAAGTTTTTCCTTTCAAGTTTATTTATAGGAATTGGAGGTAGGTGAGGTTTGAATGTTATTGCTATATTATTGGTTCTCAACCGTAAATGGCACCATGACCAATGACAATGACATAAACAACAGATAACTTTACGTAATTAAAATACTTACGCCTATCTAATTATTTATTATTGGATTCACATCTACATATTAACTTTTACCCGTGGAAAGTTATCATATTCCCCGCAAAAAATTCGAAAGATATGGAGCAAAGCTAAATTGCCAAGTTACCATGGTATTTTTCTCTGTATAATTGAAAACGTATTAGATTCTTTACTTATCTCAATTAACACAAAATCCCCCCATATACGAAGCGCCATTTCGAGGGCAATTAATTTATCAGTACGTAGTAAGCAAAAAACGGTTGCGCCCAAGTTTCAACAGCTGGGTTTCAAAACTATTAGAGTTCGACATCGTCATCGAGAAACGCATGGAACAGTATTAGAAAACTGGGGTATTGTCATTTTATTACCGTTTTCAAATTAAAATGTTTTCTCGCGTTTCTATATTTAATTACTGCTTCACTTTTGTTAAGTTTCATTTTAATGGCTACATGATTTCGCTCCTTCTTGTTCAACCTCTGGTCTTTTTAAAGAGTTTCCCAAATTTTTACTAAGTCAAAAGCCTTTCTGAAATTATTAAATCTAATTTAAATAAGGACATTGTATTCAATAGCTTTTTCTATTACTTCTCGTACTGTGTCCAAAAGGTCTGCAGTTCTCATATGAATGTAGCTTTTTATTAATTTAAATTGAACTTTTTGATGTATGCTAATGATTTATTCGTCCATAAATCGAAATACAAAATCTTTTATTTTTATTGAATCACTGTCATTGTGTAGATCTCAACCTACTAACTGTACTAGCTACTACAATGAGTAAGTTGAAACCTGCAAATGACGAAGTTATACTTGCCCAGTGGCAGTTTAGCTTATAAATCGCCCACTGCGCGTCTATAATCATGCAATTTATAGCTCGCAACTTACGTGGTACTAGCTGCAAGTTGCTTTCTCCAACAAAAGCAACCAAAGTATCCAGCAAAATTTATCATGTTCGAGTACCAGATGGCAGGTGAGGCGGGGCCGACGCCGCGCTCTCTAGTCACGCGCCGTCCGTTTATCGTGCGCACGTTGGGCGACTGCAATAAAAAGTTCTCTAAAATGAAATATTTAATGCCGGTGCGAGAGCTACTTCGAAATTTCCAACGGTCGCCAATGAAAAACGGAGTTTATTGCGCGACCCGGCCGACAGGGGCGCCTCGGCAGCTTCGACGCTAGGGGAAGTTCAGACTGAAGTAAGGTTAAGCGTCGCTTTCATCGTTTTCACGTGAACATTTGTTGCTGAGGTCTTATGGATGAATAAATCTCTCCAGTTTGTAATATTACGAATTCGCAGAGTTCTGCTTCGCTTGCCATCTATTTGTAATTATGATTTTTATGGTAATCAATCTTGATCTTATTGGTTTTTTCCACCCACTACAGTACCTGCGGTACACTCTTCCACGATCTCGTTTTATACTGAGCTTAAGGACTTGGAGCTTAATTTTCCACGATGGCCTGCTTCTAAGGTATATTAATGGTTTTATCAACAACACGATGAGTGGATTTGGTTTCAAGGACCTTTGAACCAAGTGTAGTTATACAAGATCTCTGAATACACACAAATGAATAATTTTTGTATGCTCAGAGATGGAAGCCATCACCTTCGGATTCCGTAGCAACACACTGATCGCTCAGCCACTGTCATTCTATTCGTGTGATGTCATTCGTTCTTAATGACGTACCTACATTCTTCATCGTTATCATCATTTTGATATCAATTTCTCATGATCTTTTTAGTTTACATTAAATACAGTAAAAGCACACCAATAACTTTCAGTATATAAAGTTATTTGTGTGTTTTATTACTATAGATATTATATAATTTAATACTATTTCATAGAATTTTAAACAAACTAATGTACGCCATGATTTTTATATAAAACTTTTGATACCTACTGTATAGATGACATGACGTATGACGATATATAGATGACACACATTTTCGGAAAACTACACGCAATTATTATTTAAATAAGCCTTTTACGAATCTTATTTCAAATCGCATTGTGTTTTCGTCTAATTGTTTAGTCAAAATTAGGCAAAACCTCGGAAAGAAAGAATACTGCAATAATGTATAAACATTTCATAAATTGATGTAAAAAAAGTAATAATTAAAAATTTAAAAAAAGACGCAAGTGGGAGAAATTTAAAAAAAATATTTTTAGAAGAAATAAGTTAAAATGATAAACTAGTTGACTATGTTTAATGAAGGTAAAATGCCATAATTATAACAATTCTGAAAAAATCAAAGTTTTTGGATGCAACCAAATAATTTTATTACCATACAACTACAGCATCACATAGTCATGACTACTTTTTTCATTTACATTTCCTATTTTATAGGTTTTTTTTATAATTTAATTTAAAATGGAATAAATTTAAACTTTCTTTTTTTATGTATCCACGCTAACAATTATACATACATAAAAATACATAAAAAAAGCATATTATATAACTAAAAGATTGCTGTTTAATATTTAAAATATGTTTCATTAACAATTGTTTAATTTAGGAGTTTCATTTAGTTTGATATATTCACGTAACTTATTGGAATAAAAAAGTTATCATTATTGCTTATTGTGTGATAAAATTCCATGAGAGTTTCATTAAAAATTCATATATTGTATATGCATAAATTTACCGCACTTAACTCTCAATTCAGCAACGAATTAACTGTATATATCAAAAGTAATATCATGTAACATCTTTAGTTTGTAAGACTCAAACTAAAAAGAGGGCCTTTTAATCACGTATTATTAATGTATATTTAATAAATATATATGAAACACATTTTTTTAAATATACTATCACGAATGGTATTTGCAATCATTTTTATTTTATTGTGTTATTTGAATTTCATAGTTGAAATTACCCGAGAATAGAAAAATATTTACGTTTATTTTAATAATTTTTAATATTTTTTTTTATTTCTGTTACAAAACTAACATATAAAAGCTGTCGCTTCGTGCCGGCAATATATAGTATACTAATTCCCATTTCGTCTGGTCTACCATGATAAAACATTTTTTTGAAGGTTTTTTGCTAAAATTTCTGCTAAAATTCAATATAAAGCTCAACGAAGCGGGCGGCGAACGGCTAGTCGTAAATAAACATAAGCATATAGACGTCACAGTAACGCCCACGACACAGTAAGGTTTTCACTCAAACCATATGCAAATACACCGTACCTGTGAATCATGTATAATTTCAAAGCGAATCCCCGAAACAATTCGGCGTAGGACGGCGGCGGCGGGCCCGCGGCCCTAACGCACGGAATAATTATCAAAATTAGCGCTCATAGAGGACGAGCGCGCAAACAGTATCCCTTGATAGCGGGCTCGTGGAAACTAAATGAAGGCACGACTTCATCCCGCCCGAGCCGGCCGGTCAAATATTAATTCGGGTCACATTCGCCGCGGCGAATGTCCATGTTTGCAGAGATACAACTTTCCTGGCCGGAGCATTTTGAATGGTTTACTCCGGCCCTTGGCGGTGTTTGGCCGTTCTTGTAAATTTGGATTTTGCATGTACACACAAACTCACGGCTCGCATACGAATTGTTTATAATTTTTGATAGGGAAACTAGCTATTTTTTTTTCTGAAGGTTCACAATTCTCTTTTATGAACATTGAAGCTTAAGTTTTTGTATCCACCTAGATGAACACGCCACACTTTATCGTTGATTCAATATGGATTATGTTTAAAGCTCCAAAAAATTTCATTCGCTTCCTCCAATTTTTCTTTACTTATTCAACACTCTTTTTCAACATAATTGATCAAGTGTAATAAATGTATCTATTAAGTTTTCATTTATATTATTAATATCTAGTTAAAATACAACCTACGCACTTATCTTCAAACATTTTGCCAAGCCAACGAGCAGTTACTCTTCTCGACTTGTTATAAATAAATTAATTTGTTTTAAAGTGACTGTTAAAACTTTATCAGCTAGGCATTGATAGATAATTTAATTGTAAATTTATAAATAAATTTCGCCTTATATATCAAAAGTCCGGCTGTCAATTATATAAACATAAAACCACTAAGTCAATAATGTCGTCATATCACCTAAAGATTAGGTCAGGGCGAGTTGCTGTCGCGGGTCCTCGGTTTACCTAATCTTGATGTCACGGCGATATCGAGCAAGGGGTTTAAAGTTTACAGAATTCACCTAGTCAGGATTTTAGGTACAACCTATTATGTAACTGTTCCTACGAACATCTATTCGATATCTAATTTAAATTGAGTTCTGAAAAATTGCAATTATTAATTACTCAAATTATAGTATTATTTATTCTGCGGAATACCAATTAAATAAGTTTAGCTGACATTTATATATGAAGCTCATAAGTGATTGCCCTCGATAATGATAATATGTTCGATCCTCACTTAAGAGTGTCAAGACCTAGATATTGGTTTACATTACTATGAAAAATATGAAAAAAAGTTATTGAAATTATTTTTTTCAGAAAATGTTTGTT